ATTCTAACTATTTTTCAACGTTGATTTAACATCATGTGCTATCTGGGTTGTATGTTACTTAAAATATATTGGGACTGCCACAGTGATTTATATTTATAAATAATCAATTATAATGGATTTTAGGTCAAAATCCATATAAACTGATTCATTTTCATTCTTACCTGCAGATTGAAATAGAAAACAATGAGTTGGTGCTGGGAGATTAAACGTAAAGTGGCAGGTTTGTGGGAAAACGCGCCGCCTTTGGTCAGTGACCTCAGCTGGGTTGCTTCGACACAAACGGGAAAAGCAGAAGGACGTTGATGAGCTCCTGCGCTGGTAGCCCTCGCGTCTGCTAGAAAAGCCGATTCGCTCCACAAACATGTTGGAGCCTCTGAGAGACCGGCGGTGATATTTATGAGGAGCATAAAACTGTCAGTAAAGCTCCCGTTTCCACAACAGCGAAGTATTAAACATGCCAAGCAACAGGAGGGCTGATAGCTGTTTAACTATTAACGGCTTATCGCCAGCCCCATTAAGGCTTCAATCTCCTGCAGGCATAAATTTATGAATCGTGGGCATGAAGAACGTTTAAAAGTAGTAAAACTACAAACAATATGGAATAATAAACAGGCAAAAATAAAAAGCATGTTTGTCCCTCAGCAGAGGGTCTGTTAGGAACCTTGTTGGGGAGCAACAAGGTTATTATGGGTTGTTCAAAATGCCAGAAAACTGAAAATGTGTCTTTGTTGAGTCTTAGCCAAAAATTGAATGCAGGTCATTTAAATCAAAAGTTATCCTTTATCTTCAATTTTCAATGTTTCTGCAACAAAACAAGGCTTTATTTTAAGAGTTTTCACATAACTATCCAAATTTATCTTTATATTTATCTGTGGCTCATGGTGACTTTTCATGACATTCACAGATTTTTAAAAAAAATTATTATTATTGCAAACCTTTTACAGGTACAAAACACTCCCCAAGAAGTTTTATTTTAAAAAAAAACAACAACTTAAGAATAGCTCCCCTATTTTAAATATTTTCTTTGTTTTTAAAGAGCGAGAGAGTCAGATTTGTGTGCAACTCTCAGGTACCTGGAGTCTACAGTAACAGAGAACTGCTACGATGCACAGCAGTATCACCCCAGCAAGGATTCCTCCGGTTATCACGACAGTTCCCGCTGACATTCGACCAGCTCTCCATCCAACCCTTTGAAGAGACACAGAGAGAAACGGAGCTCGTCAGAGTACAAGGGAGAAAAAAAAGCAGCAACCAACGCCAGAAAACGTTGCTGCAGCAGAGCATCTGTACATACAGGAAAGCAAAGCTTTCTGAATTCCCAGTAAATGATGGAGCATGCATGCTGTAAATATCAGGTTATATAACTGGAAAGAGATGATCCCTGCCACCCCCCCTCTTTTTATGAGCATGTATGAGCGATGATGTCTGAGTGAGCCCCCCAGCTAATCTGCAGAAAAGTGCCGATAATGTACGAGGATCATTTCTGTAGTCTGCTGGCTGAGACGAGCAGAACTCAGACAAAATGTTTACTGTGACTGAACGTACTCTGAGGTTACGGCTGTGAAACGCTGCTGTCTAAACGAACTGAAGTGAAAACAATGAACTCACTGGAGTTTGAGCTGGTGACTAGGAGCTAAAACGCTCACTATCAAGAAAATGTTTGCTTTTCTTGAGATGAATCCTATTTCCATGTCAGAATGACATAGTTTTCCAAACTTGCAATCATGTTATTGTTGGATATTTCATCAGGAATCAGATCAGAAATTAATCTGATCTAAACATGGACATAATTTTAGACATGCTGAAAAATCTAAAAATTCTGCATTTCTTTTTTTTTTTTTGTTTTTTTTTTGTTTTTTTGTCTTTGTGCTAATGTCTCTGTAATAAAATATATAGGTAAACAGAAACATACACACACAAATCTGTGGTAAGCTCTTCAGATTTCTTCGCGTATGTATTCACACATGAAAAATCTTCCTGCTTAGCTGCCTGGAAAAGTATCATAAAAAGTCTGAAACGAATGTCGCAGATTCCTGTGATCTCGCCTGCAGATCCTCCCTGGAAATGTTCAGAGCTGCAGTTAAAACTGGCTCAGCTCTCTACAGCTCACTTCCCCCACGGCCGTCACCCCGGCTATGCAATCAGCGCTAATGGTAACTCTTGCGACGTCAACTTTTCCACTCGTGTTGCCTTAACGGATCGGAAAAAGGTGAGCGCCGCGTTCCGGTCGGATCATTATTTGTGTTGGACGGCTTTTGAAACATAATCATGAGACATTAATGGATAATCTGATGACGGCAAAATGTAACGTTGTTGACACTGTGCGTCCTATGACTTTGCATTTTTGTGTTTTTTAAGATGTAAAGCACTTTGAAATGCTTTGTTGCTGAAATGTGCTATAAAATTGAAACTTGATTGATTGGAAATAAGTGTATTACAAATGGGAATGTTTTTCAAGAGCAGTGTTTGTGGTGGCCATGAAGAAACAGCCATAGTTATCTAAAAAAAAAAAAAATTATAAATAATTCTTGTCACTTTTATTCTTATCACAAAATATCTTAATAAAACTAAATTTAAATCACCCACCTGAAATATATTTTTTCACTGTTTTACAGGTAAATAAGCAAAAATATTACTACCGTTTGCTCCACACGCTTTTTTTCCAACCGGTTCTCTCAAAAGCCTGAAAACCTGCAGCCGCTGCTCTGCATGAATCAGTTTTGGTTCATCCCTCCCCATAAAACTATGTTTGCAGGAGCCGTTCAAAAATTACAGAGTTTATCGTCAGCATTTAAGCTACACGCCTCTGAGTTCACAATAGTGAAAAGTACTTCATTAGGCTTACGGTCGTAAAAATAACGTCACTCAAGCAAGACCACTGCAGGCCTGAACACAACTGAAAAGAAAAACTAAAAAAAAAAAAAAGATTAAAGATGGCCTTAAGGTATGTGCTTGTAATGGAATTCAAAAGTATAGAGATGCCCTGCAGCTGATTACCTTCGCCTAGGAATATTTAAAAGCCTCAATTACAATATGTGCTTAGTCTTAATAGAATAGCTTCGGCTGAGATTAACATGCTGAATGCATCAGCACCAACTGTGCTCATGACCCACGGAGCACAACGTTGCATATGCATGGTGAGGCGCCAGGTCCAGCACAGCAACTCTGACAAGGACAAACTATTGAACTGAACAGAAACTGATTCTGAAATGACTGTTCCTGAAAATGGCTAAATCAGAGCAAGTTTGGCTTCTGGCACCATTCAAAACCGAGCTTTTCTTTTTCTTTTTTTTTTTCTTTTTAATGGCTTTGAGAAAAGCAGGTTGCAACGAATGAAAAGTGAAATCTCTTCGAATGAATAAATAGTTAAAGCAAACCAAACCTCGTGTTACATTTCAGCAAAAACGTCAGGAATGAGTCATGGAAACAGTCGACACAAATACGTTGGAATGGATTGAAAGTGTCCGTTAAGTAGGTATTAAACATACTTTTCATTAAGCCCACTTTTTTGTATTATATAATGTTGTTTTTATTGGTGTGATGTAACATTTTAATGTTTTCATCAGCTGCAAGTGGAAAATTATCGTCAGCAACAGAAATAAAAGCTTCCAAGCATCAATATCACATGTTTCTCTTAGTGATAAGGTTCCTGAAATAAATGACATTTTGGAAATATTCTCCTTTTTTCTGAATGGGTCTGTACAGTTCCACAACTCGAACCAGTTCTTTTTAATTTATATGTACTTCCAAGAAAATGCCTGTTACTGTTGACACTCAGCTGCATTCATCCATGCGGCCTGGTGAAAAGAAAACACACACACACACACACACACACACACACACACACTTTGCCATGGATGGCATTACTTTGCCTTCCATCCCAAATGAGAAACCTTGACGTTGAAACTTGAAGTTGTTTACCATCAACATAGATTACGTTTCTAGGAAAGATATTTGCAATCAACTACAGTTTTTATCTTTTATCCATGCATCTTTTGAATGCAGCCCACTCATCCGAAGCTTTCCTCTGCTTCCCTAAGATGACTTTCTATTTGTACGACTAAATAAACCCAGATTGGCTTGAATTAAGAATAACCTCTAAAAGTTGTGCAGAGAGTTCCCATCACGAAATTTTTTGAGAAGAAAACGCTGGGCTTATAAATGAGACAAATTTAGTCACAGCCATCTGAAAATAGCCGCGCTTGAATTTTGAACACCTGTTTTTTTTTTCTTCTTCTTCTTCCTTCTCCGTATTCCAGGCAAGTCTTGAACAAAAAGCTCTGATTGGCAGAAACATATGAGGAAAAAGAAAAAGGAAGCTAAATCAAGTCATCCAAACTGTAATAACATCCAACAGAGAAAGCAAGTACACTCAGAAGATTATCCAACAGCTTGTCTATCTAATCTTTATCGAGTTCCAAGATTATAGGGGAAAGTTTCCAGTGTGCAAGAAAAGCGCAGTGCAAAAGTAATCAAAGTGCTTTTACTTCTACACATTTCATCATATCAGAGCCACAAGCCTCAGCATGAACATTTTGTTTTCTTAAACCACCGGTAGCAAACTTCAAATGTCCCGTCACTGATGTTCTCTAACAAAACCGCGGCGTAGAACTACAATACACACTTTCCAGGTTTTTATTTGCAAAGAACACTTTTATCACTATATATAATTTTCCTTCGACTCTCAATCTGGCAAAACTTTGCGTCGGTCTAACCCTCAAAATCCCAATAAAACACGTAGAAGTTGATCGCTGTGACGTGAAATCATTTTTAAAACGCTCATTGGGTATCCAGACTTTTGCAAGTGGCTGCTGTGAATTTCTCCTTCTTGCTTCTTACTAGAAATGAGAGAAGCGTCAAATACCCATAAACCATCTCAGCTCAGAAAACCCGCACAAAAAAACACTTGCAGAGGACAACCCGTTAAATCAGCATGTAAAACAAATGATTTTGACACTAATTTGGAATGATTTATGTGGCTCACCTCATGCAGAATGATTAATTTTAAACACTCCCATTATAGTAATTACAACACCAGGCAGTTTTGTTTGTCTACTGTTCAACTTGATTAACTAAAACACGCAGAGATTTCTCAGCTGAGGAGCAACATTTAATTATATTTTGATTATATAAAATCTCCCTCTCTGAGTGCTACTTATGCTGTTTTTGTGCCCTGAGTAATCTCCACAAAGCATTAATTTGTAGTGAAATTAAATTATTTGTTGATGTGCTAAAAAATTAAACCTTCAAACACTTGATTGATAAACTCTATTAGCATTTTTTTTTTTGATAAATCAAAGTGTTTGTGTGACTTAATGAACTGATTGGCTCTAAGAGACACGTCTTCCTCAGCTCGAGAGTCGGATAAAAAGGTGTTATTATAATAATGTTTGTCTTCCTTTCGAGCGGTCAAAACAATGTGACTGAGCTGCAGCTATTAAAAACACTCAAGGTTTATGATTTTATTTGCAACGTAACGGATGCGAGCATCACCTGAAAGGTGATTCAGCCAAGTGAATCAATTAAAAAAAAAAAGAAAAAGTGTGAAGTCCGTCTATTAGCCAGAGTGATATGTTCATATTTATTTCTGCTTATTTTGATTACAGTTATGCGTTTCCCAGAACAAAACTGAAGTTCTCAAAAACTACGTGTTCAATCTTCGCGTCGTTCCGTCACGATTCGAGAAACGCGACTGAGAAAATGGTATTTATGGCCTTAAGTAGTAATGAAACCAAAGTCTAGCTGTTCACTGGCATCCGTCCGTCCGTCCGTCCGTCCGTCCAGCGTGGAAATAAGACGTCTAAAATTACAACATTACATCGGATCAATAAAAAAAAACAAGACTACTAATCTACTGGGAAGATATTCCAGGAATCCAAACCAAAGAGATAAAGTCTGTTAGTCAAGACGCCTGTGTGTGACAGTCTCAAAGGTCGATGAAAGTCTAACAAGACTAAAACAGTAAATTCCCCAGAGTCATGCCGATGTGACTGGACAAATTCCAACTTATTAAATAACCAGAGAAAATAAAAATGAAGCTAAGCTATACTGAGTGGAAATGGGCATGCACGCCTCCCGCATGCAGAACTCTCCATTGTGTCACCGTGCTAAATTATGCCACCGTAATGTTGTTAGAACTGCAGTGAGGTCATTCTTGCTCCACGTTTTTCTCCTTCCTCCCTAATTTT